AGTCTGGATTAAAATAAGTATAGCAGCTTAATTAAAATGCAAAAATGATGGGTGTCTTTTTTGGTAGCACATGCTTGTGCAAAAGCGTATTTTGTAGGATGAAATTCAGAAAATCTAAAACAAGAACTGTACTGACAGATACAAACTTACAAAATACTTTAAAGATTGCAACCAGTCAGCTGCCAATTGACATTTAAACATTAAGAAAAAAAGTAGTTAGTGATTACCAATAAACTATTGGTTGTACTTATTTATTTAATTTGCGTATCATATTATTTACAATAAGATTTATAATATTATACGGGCAAGACTTCAAGAAGATAGTAATGACCTTATCTCGAAGCCCTTAAGAAAACTTTATTTTATACAATAAAAACATCTATATACCTTATAAAATAAATATATACTAAAAGTATATAACCACTAAATATATCATAAATTTAATACTGTACATACTTCAGAAGTGAAATATGCAGTATTGCAGCCGAAAATATTTTTTTTTAAATCAAAAAAATCAAGAAAATTTTTTTAATAAATTGTTTCAAATTTTTGTCATTTTTTCTTATTTTAGGATGAAATTGTCAATAAAAAGATCAAGCATATTTACAGGTAACATCTGTTTTTTATAGTTCGAATAGAAAAGTATCCGTTTTGTTTTTTCAGTATTTAAATTTTTTTTTTAAGCAAAAATTAAATTTTTTCAAGTTCTCTGTTCATATTATTAAAAAGTATGTTTATATTCTCATGTAACTGAAGCAAGTTTGTGCCGTCTACAAAAATCATAGTCTTTAAATTGGATGCTTTGTTAAGATCATTTATATTTATGATGAAAAGAAAAGGTTTAAGTATGGATCCTTGTTGGACACCGTATGTTATTTTTATTGTTTGAAATTGGGAGAGATATCTTTTGAACCAATTTAGAGTTTTTCTTGCTATGCCATAGCATTCAAATTTTTTAAGCAAAATATTATGATTGACTGTGTCAAAAGCTTTTTGACAATTCAATGAAAACATTGTCTACATAATGATATCTTTTGATTTTGCAAAAGACCACATTTTACAGTACACTAAGAGCCTCAACATATAAAAACAAATTAGAGCATAAACTTGTTTCATTTTTTTTTTTTTTTTTTTTTTTTTTTTTCAGTTTACAATTATTAATCGTAATATAACAATATAACAATATATAAACTTGGTATCTGAAAGAAGATCCAAATGATCTTGTCGCCAGAACCATATAAAATATGTCATACGTGTATATATAATAAAATAAAAGTACAATTGATCAAATAACTATTAACAATGTAAATAATTAATTGATGTAAATAATACAACTGATCAAATAACTATTAACAATGTAAATAAATGTAATAAACTGAAAATAATTTTACAAATTATCAAAAGTGAAAAAAATAATTTTATATTTCAAAAATATTTATATATATTGCCAGTAGAAAGAATATAGTTTTTTAATATAGTTTTAAAAACGGAAAACGAAGTTGACAAATCAAAATTTGGAACAACAATTTTGTTCCATAAATACGTTGCTCTAAAGTTTATGCAAAATTGATTAAACTTTGTATTACTATTAAAATTAGAATCTGACCTTATATAGAATTCCAATACTTTTAGACAATTTAGTAGAAATATAGTCGATATGATACTTCCATGTAATATTTTCATCAATGTAAATGCCTAAAAATCTTGTGACCGACTCCTTTTTTATTTCAATTTTATGAATAAAAGGTTTAGACAGTTTATTTGGTAAAAAACGCTTTTTTGCAAGAGAGTGGAAAAGGATCCATTTTGTTTTGTCAATGTTTAAAGTTAACTTTTTGCCCTTAAACCAGTTGGAGATCTGATTGAGTTCTTTATTCATATTTGAAAAAAGCTCAAATATGTCACTGTTTGACAGAAATAAATTAGTATCGTCCGCAAAAATTATACTCATAAAGTTAAAAGCTTTATTTAAATCATTTATATAAACTAAAAACCAAAGTGGGCCTTTTAGTAGAATTAGAATTTTGTAGAATTTTGTGATCGACCGTATCGAATGCTTTTGATAGGTCAATGAAAACACTTAATGTATATTGTGATCTACCAAATGAATTGGAGATTTCACGAATGAACTGTGTAATGGCTTGTTCAGTTGAAGAATTTTATTTAAAACCGAACTGATTTTTATATAGAAGTTTATTTAGATTAAGGTAATTGTATGTATAAAATATGTATAAAAAATTGTATAAAATTCTTTCTAAAATTTTTGAGAAAGTTGAAAGAACTGAGATAGGGCGATAATTACTAATATTTGATTTTTTCCCGTTTTTGTATATAGGAGTTACTTTAGCTATTTTTAATCGGTCGGGGAATACACCTTGCTGTATAGGTACCCCAAAGACTTTATAAAGAATACATTTTAAGTTTTCAAAGCAATCTATGACTATGTTGCCATTTATTTCGTACGCACCCGTAGCTTTGGTTCTTTTGAGAGATTTTTATGCTTTCTCAAACTCATCAAAAGATAAGTCAGAATGTAAATTATCTATAAAAAGCGAATTATTTATAGGCTCTAGGAATCACTAAAATTTTTTTCTGCAATAGGGATCTTGTTTGCCAATTTGGTTCTTATATCAATGAAATATTTATTAAACTCGTTTGCAATTTCGTTTGGTTCATATATATTAGTTTTATTTATTTCAATTACTTTAGGAAGGAAGTTTGAACTTGTTTTTTGTTTTCCTGTTACTTCTTTCAACGTTCTCCAAGTATTTTTTGAGTCGTTTTTAAATTTACTAATTAAATTTGAATAATAATTTCTTTTTAATTTTTTACGAATTTTTTTAAATGTTAGTAATTTTTATATTTTTGTTGGTTTTCATTTGATTTTGTTTTTAAATATTTTATATATAGTTTCTGTTTGATTTTAGAGGATTTTCTAAGTCCTTTGGTAATTTGGTGATTTTAAATTAGATTACGTCAAGTTTCTTAATACTAGTGACCAAACGTCTTTATTTTTATATCTTGTCTAACTGTTTTTAATTTGAATCGTTTAGATACATTTTCTTTAACGCATCACCTCTGACTATCATTATCGAAAAGTTCGAAAAACTCCACTCTCAGAATTATTAAAAACTTTAGCCTATCAGATAAGTCTACAAGAGTAACACTAATTTGTGTTTACTTTTTCTAACAAATAGTAATGTGATGCCTAACATCACATAAAAAACATAAGTAATTTGAGTTACATTTTTTTTTTATGTTGATTTTAGGTGCCCCAAGAAGTCCTTACGGTCTTATCACAGAGTACCGCGGAAGAGCATTTAATAGGAAGTTCACGCCTCCTTCCCAACTAATGTCTCCAGAGGTGGGGTTTGAACCAAGGATCTTACATTTCTTAGGCAAGTGTGTTACCACTGCGCCACGGCTGCTTGTTACATTAATTATTACATACATCATCACAAAATGAAATCAATAATCAGTTTATATTATTACAATTACATACAACACCTTAAAACGCGACCTAATTTTACAAATAAAACGTTTTTTTTTTAACTTTTTAAGAGTTTCAATTCGAGTCTAACATTTTATCTTTAAACCATTTAAATGGTTTGTGATTTTAATCACAATAATTGTGATTAAAATCACAATAATTGTGATTAAAATCACAATAATTGTGATTAAAATCACAATTATTGCGATTAAAAAGTTTTATTGTGATTTTAATCACAATAAAACACGCATTGTGGAATTCGATTTTCTAATCACACACAGCTTTTAATATCATTTAGTCTTCTTAAGCCTTCTAGCAGTAGCGTAGCGACAAAAAATAGGACTCCCAGCAAAATTTTAATCCGGGCCATGAAAACAAAAGCCTTATTTTTAAATACAACTTTGAGTTAATTTGATGGAAACATATATGCTACATATTGTATAGCTAAGAATTTGCAATTCTACAATACATATACAATACAATAATAGCAAAAATGTGATTAAATATATTTGAAAAATTTGGCTTGGGCCCGCCCGCGGCTTTTTCATTAGTGTTTAATTTTTGATATTTTTAGTAAAGAACCCATATATGCTAAAACTAAAAATTGTGAAATTTCAGTTTTTGCATATATGGGTTCTTTGTAAAGGGCAATTAAGAGTGTTAAATTATAGATATGACGAAGTAGCTGATGCTTGGCAAGGCAGATGCCTTTTTAAATAGTTAAATTTGTCTATATTACACAAATCTTTATTTTATAGAATTAAAACGTGAAATCGGTCCTAGACCTTATGCCATTCAAATGAATTCTCATTACAAACTGGTCATTCTAATTTAGGTAAGACACGATTGGGTAGACTTTTACATTTCACAGAATTTTAATCATAGTCTGTCGGTGATGTACTCATTAATTTTAGTGTCGCTTTAGTTAATAACTTCTGATAAAATTAAATTATTTTTTCACTCTCAAAAACATCATTTTTAATTTTTTCTTGAACTAAGGTATTTAAAATTTCCTCATCGATATTATTTTATCTCTCAAAACTCACACATAAAGAATTTTTAAATCCTACTAATTTATAGCCTCGTTAAGTCAAGTTTAGCCTCTTTGAATTCATTACTCTTTAACTCCTCTCTGATTTTACTAATAAATTTCCGAAGCTTAATCTCTACGTTTTCCGCCTCACAATTTTTCTACCTAAAACAGTTACCATTTTAACTAGCAGTTGGTAAATAATCAACATACACAACTTGATATAAAATCTTACACTCAGATCAGACTTAGAACTTACCCTACTAACCACAACCGACCTTTACAAAATAAACTTTGTTAACATCTAAATAAAATCAATGTTCAAAATCAGAAGTTAATTTAACTTCTGACGATTTTTCAATTCTTTGCTTCTTTAAAATATACTATTATCATCGCACGCTATGTAAAATTTAAAGAGGTTTACCATTTTTAATAAACATAAGAATAAACTACAAATTTTATAATAATATAACTCAAATGTTAGTTCATCAGCGCTTTACTTTCATACATATATATACAACATGTAGCTTTTCCGAGGAGAGCCAATAAAAACAACCAAGAAACTCAACTACACAACAATCGTCAATTTAACTTGCTTACTAAAAATTGTCATTTTCTACAACACCATCAACAACAACAACAACAAAAACAACAACAAAAATAATAACAATTATAATTAAACAACAGCAAAAAAATTAGAGTAACCCAAAGTTTAACTTGGTAGAGGTAAAACTTGTTAAAATCTTTTCTCAGAAGAGCACAATGGAATTCAGCATTTAAAAAAATTTACTCTCAACGGAGCACTGTGCAATTCGATTTTCAAAAATATATTTCAATGTTAAATAATGCAAAGATTTTAAAAATTTATTTTATACAAAATGCATACCATGAAGTAGAGAAATAATCAGAATATATACAAACTACTTCAATTTCAATTTAGAATTAAAGCTCAAAAAGGATCTATATATACATCTATTAGGAAGCTAATACTAAGAGAGATATTAATGACTCTAAGGATACTCTATAACAATATATATATATATATATATATAAAAATATATATATATATATATATATATATATATATATATATATATATATATATATATATATACATATATATATATATATATGAATTTGTACTAGAAAATGTTTTATATTAAAATAATTTTTATATATCTGCATATATATATTTATAGATTGATAAAAATATTTAATACTCAAACTTATGGAAATTGTTCAAAACCTTGAAAAATTATTTTAAAATCAGAAATGAATACACAAAAGTTGAAAAAGCAGTAATAACTACACAAGATCTAAAAAAAGCGAACAGACTATATAAGAAGAAAAAAAAAGCGAACTGACTATAAAAGAAACGTAGTAGAAACGTAGATTGTAGTTCGATTGACAATAATAGCTCAATCTTGTGGCATGTGCTTGAGAGGAAAACCTGATTGCAAAATGCTGATTTAAAAACAGGACTTATCATCCTGAGTTTTTTGTTCTATCTTAACGATATCTTGATCCACCAGAACTATAAAAAAAAAAAAAATCAAACTAAAAAACAAATAATATTATCCTTTTATTAAGTATTATAGTAAAAAGTCTAATAAATATTAAAACAGTCAAAATGCTTGAACAGACTCATAATACAGCAATGAATACAATAGAAATAAAAAAAAACAAACAAAATAAATTAGGGGAAAACAAAGTAAGTAACGGTTTAAAATTCTATAACTTTTAAAACTTAAAACCCTAAACTTTTTCTAGCAAAAACTTTTAAAGCAAGCCGTATAAAAGTTATTTAGTCATACCTTGGAGATTATTTTGTGTCAATTTGTTTATGTGATGCCCACGGTTTTCATGTTTCATGTTTACTAAATAAAATATTTTGTATTTTATGAATCCTAACTATAATTGAAGAAATGCCAAAAATGCTCTGGTCAAAAATTCACATAAAACATGTTGTAAAAAGGTTTAACTACTGAAGCACCGATGATAAAGCTAGATAAAGTATGGTAAGCTAGGATGGTAAGGTAAGCTAGAATGGTAAGTTTTTCACCATTAAAATACTTTTGTTCCAAACCAAGTTAAAAAAAAGTTTAAAAAGATTTCAAACTTTTTTCTACTTTCAAATTATTTAGAAATTATTTAGTTTCTTTTAATAACTGAATAAACACTGACTATTGCAAGCAATCAACAGCTAAAGATTCTATTAAATCGACAGAACGAGATTTATTTTGTAAAGATGTTAGGGAAAAATGACCAAATTAAACAGAAACAAAAAGAAATTAACACAAAGTTGAACAATCTAACAAACAATAGAATACTTTTCTGTACCAAATCGAAGGTTAAAAACATAAACACATAAACTTAAGGATTTCTTTAAGGTCAGGAAAAAGTAAATACTGGCAAAACCATAAAAATTCAAAGTTATGATTAAGAAATTCAAAGCAACAAATATTATTGGAATTGTCCTGATAAAATTTAGAATTTGGGATTTAAATACGTAAAATGCGGTAGTGGTGTAGTGGTATAGCGCTCGCTTCATAAACGAGTGGTTCGGAGTTCGATCCTCACCACGTCCCTGGTAGTACCGCGCTCAACTCGTTTCTCCGCGCAGCGGCCTTATTCATCAAGGTTCGTGTTTCGGAGTTATAGAGGGTTATAGCCACAAATAAGTAGCCTCCTCGTCTGTAGTGGCCTTCTCGGCCTTGAGGAGGTGAATTAAAATAAAAAAAAAAAAAAAAAAAAAAAACACATTAAAAGAAATTTTAAAAGGGTACATAGAAGCGATTATTATTTGTCAATCTGAAAGAGGTCAATTATAAAAACAGGAAAAAATTTCAAGAATTTCAAAACTAGTAAACTTCAGCATTGAGTAAGCATTTTATATGTATTTATTAAATTCACTGGAATTCGTTAATTTGTTCTGCAGTACCAGAAAACATTAACTATAAAAACTTTTATCAAAAATAGTATGCGATAGCCAAACTTAATGTCTCATACTCATGCATGTAGTTTAGTTTTTGTTTATTATATCACTTTTATTATGTATTCATAAAGCCTGAGTTGAATGGCAAAACTTTTTTTGGTGAAAAAACAACATATGCAACCGGGAAAAGTTTCTCTTTTCTAAAAAATATTCCACTTTTTTGCTAATATATTTAAGTTACAAGTGTTTTCTTAAGTGCTAAATACACAGTTTATTAATTTTCGAAAATTTTTCCCATCGTCTTTAAGCTTATGTATATGTTTAAAAATTACACGATATTTTCAAATCTTGACGTGTTTCGTAATTTTGTATTAGATTTTCAAAAGATTTGTTTTCCAATAAAAAAAACTCTGGAATAAATATTATAAACCAGAAGACTTTACAGAGAAACATTAACGGACAAAAAAATACATAATAATTCAATAAAATAATTACAAAATGACTACAAAATGGTAAATAACCAATCAATATAATCAAAATAAAATAAACTGTTATTTTAATTAAATAGATAGGTTGGTGTTATAATGGAAAGTTTGTGTGGGATTTTCCCATTTAATGTGGAGCGCTTCTTTTACTTTTAATTTTTGTTTAGTTAAGGCGATATCTAAAATTTCAAAGGAATTACAATAAGACAAGTTTTTACAATTAAGGGATGTAATTGAATGTTCTAGTTGTTAAATGTCTGGAAGTTTCTTCAATATAACTGACATTACAGCCAGGGCAAGAAAATTTGTTAACAACATGAGATTCAAGTAGCTTCGGAATAGGATCTTTTAAACATTATAAAATCTAAGCTCATTGGAACAATCTACTAAACACCTGTTACAAGAACCAGATGAGACTGCGAACCAGTTACAGAAACCAGATGAGACTGTGTCATTGGATCTTCCTACGACATCCAATGATATTTTACCAAGATGATCAACTCGAAAGCGCACGGTTCGAATTCAGTTGGATATTTTGACAATGGACAATTTAATACTTAAAGATGTCGGGGAGATTATTTTATTATTATAAAATAAATTTTATTATATTATGTATTAACAATTTGTTTTTAATTTTAATTTTAGCAGAATTTCCGATGAATAGAAAGCGTGAAGTATCTTATATTTGAGTTTTTAACTAAGGTAAAAACAGATGGGTTTAATTTTTTTTATCGATATATGATTTAATTTTAGAGTCAATAACATTTTGCAGAAATTGATTATTTTGTAAAACAAAAGAAAGTTTTTTTATGCCTTTATAGAATCCTAGCTAAGTATTTTTAACTTTATGTGTTCTATCAATCAAACAACATATAAGACCAAATTTGTAGCAAGAGGGAACAAAAAAAAAAAGGGAAAAAAAAAGGAAAGAACATTCAATTATTATAACTAACGAAAAAGAAATTACGTTTACTTACTAAATCTATTACGTTCACTTACCAAATCCAAAGTAGTTTTGAGCAATTTTCTCTTTAAAGAGTAAATCAGTTGCTATGTTAACGGTTGCTATGTTAATCAGTTGCTATGTTAACGGTTTCCTTAAGTGGTATGTTTGTTAATAAATTTTCAACATCATGTAAAGCTATAAATTTATTATTTACATTAGTATGCTTCAACTCTTTAACAAAAGAAAATGAGTCTAAAGTGCGAAATTGTTTAGGTATATGTGGAGACAATAAATGAGAAAGATATTTGGCAAGGTTGTAGGTGTATTAGTTTACCGTTTATTTACAAACATACCACTTAAGGAAACCAATAACATAGCAACAGGTTTACTCTTTAAAGACAAAAATTGCTCAAAACAACATTTTAAAACTTTGTTTTAAAGATCCTGTTTGGTTCCGAAGCTACTTGAATCTCATGTTGTTAATAAATTTTCTTACCCTGGCTGTAAAGCAATTTATATTGAAGAAACTTCCAGACATTTAACAAGTAGAATTAATGAACACCATGGAACTGACAATAAATCTCATATATATAAAAACTTAATTACAACCCTTATTTGTAAAAACTTGTCTAACTGTAATTCATTTGAGATTTTAGATACCGCTTCAACTAAACATAAATTAACAGTAAAAGAAGCGCTCCACATTACATGGGAAAATCCCACACTTAATGAACAAACCTTTCATTATAACATAAACCTATCTATTTAATTAAAATAACAGTTTATTTTATTTTTATTATATTGTATGGTTGTTTACTAAGCCATTTTGTAATTATTTTATTGGTTTATAATGTATTTTTTTGTCTGTTAATGTTTCTCTGTAAAGTCTTCTGATTTATAATATTTATTACAGAGTTTTTTTTATTGTAAAACAAATTTTTTGAATATGTAATGTGAAATTACAAAACATGTCAAGATTTAAAAATATTGTATTATTTTTAAAAACCACTGATAAGAATAAAATAAAAATATTCATGTGTAATCAGGCTTTAATAATTTTTGACTCTTAAAAAATTTACTAAATTTTGATTTGCCAAAATTGTTTTCGCTTATTTCTCACCATGTAAATATATATTCACCATGTGAATATAAAACTTATATTCACATTTTCGCCACAATTTCTGTTTTCTTTCTTTTAAAAATGCTTTAATCCATTGTATTTTTAGACCAGATATTCTATAAGCTATAAGTTTATACAACAATCATGTGGCACTGTGTCAAATGCCCTGGCAAAATCCAAAAAAACAACATCAACAGGTTTACCATTCTCTTAGACGGTTGAAATAAAATTAAGTATTTTACGTAGATCTGTTGTGCATGATTTATTTTTAACAATACCGCGCTGTTGGATGATTATTTATTTGAACTTATATAGAAAAGTTTCAAGTTTACATCTGATTATACCTTCCATTATTTTACATGGAATTGAGGTGAGTGATACTGGTTAGTAGATTCCTGCTAAGGTTTTTCACCAAACTTTTCTATACTATTTTCTTAGATATTCTAGCTTTCGGGATCCGTAAAATACCAAATCTACCATTTCTAAGCATATTTATTCCACACCGAATTTCTATACCTATTCCTTTTTTACTTTAATCTTTTTTAGTAAAATAATTTATTCAGATAAAAAACTTTAAGAGCAAAAAACTTAACATGCGCACCTTTTCCGCATACCTAGAGCTTATAAGAGATTTATAATCAGGTTTTCTGCTAAATGCATTTCATTGATAGCTCAGTGGTTTAGTGCGCTGTCATCAGTGCCATTTTGGGGGTTTAAGACCTCCCCTTAGCATAAAAGATTTTGAAATTTTTTCAATCTTGCTTATATATTTATAGTGAAAAAATAATAATGAAATTTTTAAGTATCTTTATTTTATAGATATATTATACACGATTATTCCATATAATGCTCAACATAATATGTAGAGTTTACATGAGAAACGGATGAGACAATTTTTCAATTTTGTCTCATCCACTTGGATGAGATAAAATGTTTCGTGTTTTTTCAATCTTGTTAATTTTTTAAAATATTATAACATACATACAAAAAATCAAAACAAAACAGCTTAAGCAAAAAAGACATAATTATTAGATATCATATGTAACATAAGTTTACTTATATTACATACGATCCTGAATAAAACGTTATATAAGTGGATTTTTTACATTTTATAAACAATATATATAAATAAACAACATATTTGTTTATATATATAGCTTATGTAGGGATGGTTAAGCGCCAAACCTGCCTTTTTTAAGTGCACTGAACTGCAATTTTTTTTATAATACTTTTAATATTTTTAAGTGCACTGAACTGCAATTTTTTTATAATACTTTTAATATTTTTAAGTGCACTGAACTGCAATTTTTTTATAATACTTTTAATATTTTTAAGTGCACTGAACTGCAATTTTCTTTATAATACTTTTAATATTTTTGGTTTAGTGGCTT